TCAGCATCATCATCATCATCATCATCAGCATCATCATCATCAGCATCATCATCATCATCATCCTCATCATCATCATCATCATCATCATCAGCATCATCATCAGCATCATCATCCTCACCATCATCATCATCATCATCATCATCATCATCATCATCAGCATCAGCATCATCATCATCATCATCTCCCTCCTCCTCCTCATCCTCTTCTTCTTATTGTTATTATCAGTATTGGTAGTAATGCTATTATTATCATTCGTGTTCTTATTACTAGTATGCTAATTATTCTTCTTACTCGTACTAAGATTATTGTTTTTCATCTGCTTCTTGTTATTATTCTTCATTTTATTCTTTGTATTCCTCCTCCTCCTCCTCCTCCTACTCCTCCTCCTCCTCCCTCTCCTCCTCCTCCTCCTCCTCCTCCTTCTCCTCCTCCTCCTCAGGGCTCTTCAGAAGTGGACCGTCCCTCCCCCTCTCCAGCCTGACCTTACGGGGGAGCTTGCCTATCAGGAGGTCTGGCAGATCCGCTTGCAGACACTCCCAGGCATTTTTCTGGATGGCCTCCAGGAGATGGCCGAGGAGGCGGTCAGGCTAGGCCAATCACATGCTGCGCGTGCACGTTCGCATCACTCGAAGCAGTGCCGCCGATGGCTATCCGAGGCTCTCAGCAAGTCAGCTGGGCCAGCCCATCGCCTGTTGAAGGAAAGCCGGAGCCACATTGTTCATGACCGCGTGGATTGCCAGGGCCGCATTGTCTCTGACTTGAGTGAGGCTTTGGATTTCGAGGCTGCCGCCTGGAAGGCGACCTGGGGTCGGCACTCTCGCGTTGAAGCCTTGGAATCCCTTGCGTCACTTCGCTCTGAGGCCCAGGCGGCGCCCATGATGGAGCCGATCACTTTAGATATGCTTGATGCGGCTCTGGCCACGATTCGGGATACCAGGGGCAGGGGCGCTGATGCCTTTAATCCCCGGCTGCTAAAGGAAGCTAGCAAAGAAGCCAAGTTTGCCTTTGTTGGTCTTCTGGGGGAGGTTGAACGCCATGCCACTCTCCCCTTGCAACAGCTTGTCAGCCTCGCTGCGCTCGCTCATCGATAAAGAGGATGGCGGGCTCCGTCCTGTAGCCCTCATTGGTTTCATGTCCTTCTCATTCGTATTCGTCGGCCGTATGTCTCGAATTGGGATCGCTCTGCTGCGGGCCCTTGGGACAAAACGGTTGGGTCCTCGGCGGAAGTGGCCGGTTGGCTCGACGAGTTGGAAACAGAGTTGGCTCGCACCATGGGTTCGAAGTCGGTGGTGGCCTTCTCGATTTACACAAGTTCTACGATCAAGTCGCCATTCCTGACCTGATCGAGGCTTCGAAAGCCTTGCGGTACCCCTTGAGGTTGCTGGTGCTCGCTATGGACGCCTATCTGGGCGTACGGATGCTCACGTCTTCAGGCGCAGTCCACAACGGCATTCTTCCCCACGGAGGCAGTTTGCCCGGGTGCGGCCAAGCCGTCAGTCAGGCTAGGGCGTACCTGCATGAGCCCATGAAGTCTGCTACCCTCTCAGTCTGCGGGCTGAGCCTCAGGGAATGGGTCGACGACACCTCTTTTCGATTGTTCGGCACCCATGCCAATATTTGTGCTACATTTCCGATTCTTTTGCACGCTTTTCTCATAGGTCTCCAGCGGCGCCACTGCGAGCTTTCTCTTGATAAGTACCGCCTCTTTTCTTCCTCAGTGGCCGTCCACCAGGAGTTGGTGATTGCCGCTGAGAAAGAGAGCCTCACGGGCATCAAGGGTGCTCCAGCCGCCTGGGACCTTGGACACGACACCTCATTCGGCGATCGGTGCGTGACCAAGGTTCGCCAGAAGCGTTTTGAGAAGGGGGGGCGTGCGACGCGGAAGGTGAGCCGGTTTGTTTCGTCGAACCGTGGAGCCAGCAAGTTATTTTATACACACGTTCATTCGAAGGCCATGTGGGCCCCGGAGGTGCATGGGCTCTCTCCCAGCATGCTCAGACGCTTAAGGTCCATGGCTCACGCATGCTCCAGGTCCTCGCAGAAAGGGACTTGCGCCACGACCGCCATCCGCCTCACATATGGCGATGGCCGGGACCCAGTGCAGGTCTATTTCAAGAGATTGTTGCAGGCCTGGGTGACGAGGCTGGCAAACAGGCCGCCCGTCCTTGAACGAGTGAGGGCTTGTTGGGAAGCATATTTGACTGTTGCTGGCAAAGGCTGGCGGTATGTCAAGGGGCCCATGGCTGCATTACAAGCCTCCATGTTGTCCATCGGACGGGCGGTGCCTGGCCCTGATCGCTTCGTTGATCCAGATGGTGACACGTGGAGCCGCGTTGATGACATGAAGGGTCCAATTACTTCCTTGTTGGAGGCTGTCAACGATGGCTTTGAGCTTCGCCAGTGGCGCGAGGCATCCAAATTTTATGATGGTGGAGGAGCGGCTGAAGGTATTTACTGGAAGCACGTGCCGTGCCTCCTTCGGCCCTTCGAGGAGAAAGGCGAGTCTTCCCTTGCTGGCATGGTTCATCTTGTTGCCTGTGGGGGCTACTGGCCAGAGCAACGATTAGCGGACGCCAAGCTGGTCGTGAATGCCATTTGCCAGCGGTGCCATCGTCTCGCCGATTGCTCCATTCATAGGTTTTGGGGATGCATGTGCAATGATGTTGCTGACAGCCCATTAGTACAGGAGACCAACCACCTCAGGCACCAAGCCCGTGAGGAGGCTCCCGCTGTACCCATTTTCTGGTGCAGGGGACTTATCCCCTCGAGATGGCTCGCCATCCCTGACCCCCCCGAGTTCCGGGAGGTTACTTTGGTGAGGGCCGTTGCTGACCGTAGTTTGCCTGGTGGCACATATGGCACCGATGGCTTTGGCGGCCCGCTGGTGGCCAACCCGCTGGTCAGGCGTTGCTCGTTTGCCTTTGCCCGACTGTGCCGTCCCTGTCCAGAGCCCGATTGGGACATGGGAGGGCACGGCAATTTGGAGGGAATGCGCAGACCGTGCCTAGAGCGAGGTTGGTTGCTATTATCGAGGTTGTTCGCCGCGTATAGCCTGACCACGACCTTCTCGAAGTCACAGACCATGAAAACCATGTCAAAGCGTTCCGTAAAGGGTTCCATCACACCCTGAGCCTTCAGAACGCCGACCTTTGGTTTAAGTTTTGGCAGGCACTTCGTGGGAGGAGCGCTCGTTTCACTTTGGAGTACGTTCCGAGTCATCTGGCGGAAGATGAAGCCAAACTCAACAAACACCGTTCTTCTGCTAATCCAGATTTTCTTTTTATTAATTGCATTGCTGACGCCCTTGCCTCTCATAGGGCGGAGCTTTGTCAATTACCACCGCGTGCAGTCATGGATGCGACCGATCTAGTCGACCAGGCGGTGGCAATCTTGAAGCGTAATGCCACCATCTGCTTGGAGGTGTGCGCTCGGCCCCGGAACCCTGCTAGGAAGCCCGCGCGTACACGTGTTTCGCAGCTCTTGAGGCGGAGGGCGGCCACAGTGGCAGTGATCGAAAGTGCTGCGCATGCATTTGTGCCCACCATTTTTGGCTGGAGGTGCCAGGGCTGTGGAATTTGTGTCAAAAGGAAGTCCAAAGGATTCTTTCGCATAGTCCGCTCTTCCTGTGCGGCCACTGCGACAAATGCGGTGGAGCAGGACCCTGGGGACCTCCGCCGCGAGCGCAAGGCCGACGGCAAGCGTTCCCAGTTGACCGATGAAGTTGTCGACGAATGTCTTTGGGAGCGCCTCGGCATGGCAGAACCTCCTGCCCGAGCGCCGCGCCCTTTTTTCTTGGCGGGCAGGCAGGTGCACGATACCCATGACTGTTGGGTAAAAGGTTCCTTCAGCTTCTGTGGCCAATGCGGCTGCTGGTCGCAGAGGATTCAAAGGCTTCATTTGGAGCCGTGCGACGCCATTGCCAAAGGCGTAGCCAATCTCACAAACTACCAGCGTGAGGGGCTGCAGAGGATCAAACGAGGCCTCCCCCCGAAGAAGCTGTGCAAGGATTGGGGTCCTCACCCAGACGGCGAGATTGAACTATAGTCTCCTTGAATGTTAAAGCCTATGTGTCAAACCATTCGGATGTTTGGCTTGTAGACGCGCACTGCAATCCTCCTCCTCCTCCACCTCCTCCTCCTCCTTTTCCTCCTCCTCCTTTTCCTCCTCCTCCTCCTCCTCCTCCTCCTCCTCCTCCTCCTCCTCTTCCCCCGCGCCGCGTCAACAAGCTGCGCAAGGCCCGGATCTCGGGGCCAGCCCACGGTGGCCACCCAGCGGGGGCTCTCCCTCCGGGAGGAGAGCGGCGAGAACTCCACGGATGGGTCCAGAGGAACGGAGGAGCGGCACGGGCGCATGTCGCCTCTCTCCGTCTCTCTCTCTCTCTCTCTCTTGGCGGCGAGCCCATGGGGGGAAAGCGAGAAGGGGCGGGCCTTCTCAGAAGGCTCAGAAGTCCCCTGGCCTTCGGAGAAGTTGTCTAGGCCTCCCCCGAAGACACAGAACACGTCTCAGAAGGCGCGAGGGCTTCTCAGAAGTCCCGCCGCCGTCTCAGAAGGCCTTCTCCTTCTCATTTCCCCCCCTCGCTCGCCGCCAACTCTCTCTCTCTCTCTCTCTTTCTGAGGTCTGCGAGGGTATCCTGGGTCGGCGCCAGCCCTCCCGCCGGCACCCCTTCCTGGGGGTTTTGGCGGGGAGGGAGCCCCGCGCAGAATCCAAGAGATCGGCGCGGGCCTCCACGGGGCTGTGCCTGTGCCACTGCTCGTTCCTCTGTGGCCGGGTGTTGCCATGCGCAGAAGAGGCTGCAGCAGGGCCACGTCGTAGTGACGTCGGCGCTGGCCTCTGACACCGCCTGGACCGTTCAACCTTGAAACATCTGGCGTCGACGTGGCACCAATCTGCCGTGTACACCATCACCACCGTGCCTGGCCAGGGTCACCCCGGGCCCTGATAGTGTATACGCCCTCCTGGACGAGGCCTCAGATGGCCATGGCCAGGCATGTGGTGGTGGTGGTGTATAGGTGACTTCTGCGGATGACAGAAGTGTCCCTGACCGAAGGTGCCCCTACCTTCCCAGACATCGGGCGGACCGTTCTGTTTAATCCTGGCGTTGTCCATCAACTTCTGCCTCTGGGGGCCTTCATCGAACCCCGAGAACTGGGCGACTGGACCCAGGGCGGGAAACTACCCTCGGGGAAGGGGCCAAGACCTCATGGGGTCTGCGGATGTACGTGTTATTTGTTCATGTGAAGATGTGTATATATATATATATATATATATATATATTATCATACGCACCTCTCCGAGGGAGCAGAGCTCAGAGGCGATTAATGCGCACGCGTCCGCGATATTTCTGGGCGTTTCGCTCGGGACATCCTCGAAATTCTGAAAATCGGTGGCACCCCTCACGCAGATCGCGACGTCAGGGTCCAAAAACACATGGGAAATTCAACATTTTAACATAAACCCTTCAAAAACACATGGTAATTTCAATAATTGTGACCCCGATTCTCAGTGAATGGCGGTTTCGCTTGAAAAATCCTTCCAAAATCGAGCCCCAGACCCCGCCTCGGAGCCTCCTGGGTGCCTCCTGGAACCTCCTGGAGCCTCCTGGACCTTCTGAACCTTCTGGCACCCCAGACCCCGCCTCGGAGCCTCCTGGGGGTGTCCTGAAACCTCCTGGGGCCTCCTGGGGCCTCCTGCGGCCTCCTCGAGCCTCTTGGGGCCTCCTGAAGCCTCCTGGGGTCTCCTGAGGCCTCCTGAGGCCGCCTGGGGCCTCCTGGGGCCTCCTGGGGCTTCAGAACTACATGCACACAGAGACACAAATCACGCCCAACACATCACACGCTAGACAAACATACACACACACACACACACACACAACACCTACAACACACAAAAAGCACGCACCACACGAAGCATACATCACAAACACACACACACACACACACACACACACACACACACACACACGCACAACACTCACAATCCTGGGGCCTCCTGGAGCCTCTTCTGGTGTCCAAGTCGGGCCTCCTAAGGCTTCCTGGGGGCCCTGGTACACACATCGCAAGATGTGGCAACCCCACTTGCGCTCGAGTGCGACTTCGATGTTGCATTTCACTCCTGCTTCAAACGCCCCTTCAGTTTTTTGTATGAGCCTGGGCACACACGTGCCACATGTATATGGATACACATATAATTGAACAGATAAAACTAAGTGTCGAAGATCTGGGCCCCAAGCCTCTCTGCAGCCCAGGGCGTCCCTTCTGGGCTTCGCCTGGGCCATGCCTGAACGCTAGAGCATGGAACTTGGGCTGGAGCGGAGGCTGGGGAACTAGAAGGCAGTTCCAGGGGGACTAGGACTGGGACTGAGGCTGGGACTGGGAATATACAACAAGCATCTGGTTGGCCAAAAGGCTTGGTGTACAGACGCCCCAGCTTCCCAACCTGTGGCGCTGGAGCGCCTGAACGCCGAGCTCCTTGGCTCCTTGGCCAACCAGACGACGTGGCGTAAACACCTGGAGAAACCAGAAGGTACCGAACCCGCTATTCTCCGGACCTCCCCCATGGGCGCGATCTGACCAGAATTTCGCGGCGGCAAATTCAGCCGTGACGAACAGAGCCTTCCAGGAGGCCCAAAAAGGGGGCGGAAACGAGGCAAGGGTAACAGTAGCGGTGCCTTTTCTTATTCTTTCCTCTGAACATCTGGCCCCTCCGAGGCACACTTCTTGCGACACCCGAGAATGGAGTGTACGGGCTGGCTGGGTACACGAACGGCTTCATCGACACCTGCCGGCTGTCGCCGAGGCTGGGCGGGTGCTCCTCCAGCAGGGCTAAGATGTAGTCGAGCCGCATGCTACTGCAGAAGTAGCAGGGCGCGGCCTTCCCAGGATCCCTCGTGCTCACAAGGGCGGCGAGGTGCCCTTTGGCGGCGCCGTTCGCTCCCCAGTGAAATCTGGCCCGCAAGTCTTCGAGTTCTTTGGCCCACTCCCTCTCGTCACCCTTGAACCCATACAGCTTCGCAAAGTGCAGCAAGGGCTTAGATCCAAGCACCTGGCATCTGTCGACATCGAGCTTCTGAAACAGCTCTTTGATGAGTCTCGGACGCGTGACCTGTGCAAGGATGCCCCGGTAATAGCTGTACAGGACATCGTCGTCGGGACAGTTGCCCTGCCAAACCTCGGGCGAGTTGAGGAAGTCCTGGAACTGCTGCGCCTTGATCAGCACGACCCACGAGCTTCCGTCAGGCCCTCGCTGCTCGTCCTCCTCGTCCTCCGTAGCGCCACGGTTCCACCGCCAGCCTAAAACCTGCTCTGTGCACTCCACGAACCTCTCGAAATCGGAAATCGTGAATGGGCCAGCCGTCCATACACCACCAGCCTCCACCTCTACGTGGTCCTTTAGCGCCTGGAGAAATTCCCACAGCTCCACCGACGACATCGAAGACCCCGAGTCGGTGAGCCGGAGGAAGACGCGGTCGATCAGCCACGCGCGGGGGAACGGCGTGGCCGTCCACTCGGAGTCGGCGTCGGGCCCCAAGTTGTTGTACCGCTTGACCAGATCGCCCCTCGACTCCCTCTCCTCGGGCAGGCGAGCTCCACTGCTCGACTAGTATCTACTCGCAAATGGCCTGGATCCTTTGCATCGCGAACATTTGGTTATTGACGTTTGCGAGTAGGCACGTTGCGAGTAGTGGAACTCCTCCTCCTCCTCCTCCTCCTCCTCCTCCTCCTCCTCCTCCTCCTCCTCCTCCTCCTCCTCCTCCTCGCGCTCGGTGACTCCTGGAGCATCCGCCTGTTCTTCCTCAGGTGGGCCAGGGCGCGTTCCTCGGACAGCGCCCTCGAGCTGCTGACCTCCTGTGGCTCGGCGGCATCTCCTGGGAACCTCGCCATCTCGCTGGCCCTTGCGAATCGACGCTAACCGACTCTCATCGACGCTTCACCCCAGACCCCCTCGGGCAATGAAAAAATCATGACGGGGGCGTCTCGCAATCTTCGGCCTCTGGGGGCCCTTACCGGCCCTCGAGACCGTCAAAAAACGCCTCAGGATGAAAAACCGGTCCAGGGGAATGGGTCAAGACTTGCAGGGGTCGACGTAATGAAAAAGTCATGACGTCGGGGGTCTGGGACCGACGCTCATCGACGCTAAATCGACACTAGTCGACGCTACATCGGCGTTCTCTCTCTCTCTCTCTCTCTCTCTCTCTAATCGGCCACCAGACACTGGCCCAACGTCGAGGACACACGAGGCTCCCAGGAGCTGCTGCCGAGTCCTCGACCACCTGCCCCACCTTGTCCACCTCCGACTCGGCGATCTTCTTCCTGCGGCCCTCCGCCGAGTACTTCCAGTCCGCGTGCAGCCGCATGTTGCGGGTGGCGCCTGCCTGCTGGGGGGGCGGAGCCTTCGGCGGCGCCCGCCCCCTCTGCGAGTGGGGCCTGCCGCCCTTCTCCAGCGACGGCCAGAACGGGTGCTGCTGCTCCCACTCCCTCCGGAAGCCGTCCTTCCGCTTCTCAATGATGCCCCGCGGGGGGCTCGGCCTCGGGGTGCCGCCCCAGAGTGTGCGCGACCAGAGCGGACGGGGCCCGGCGAGCGCCACCGCGCATCGCCGAGACATCGGCGGTGCATCGGCGGCGTCGAGATTGGAGGACATCGGGCACCGGATCGCGCCACGTCGCCGAGGGGGCGCACCCTGGGCAGAATCTCGAGGCGGCCCCAGCCCTGGTGGCGAGAGGCGCCCAGGAGGCCCCAAAAAGGGCCGAAGCCGCCCGGGAGCCCCGATCTTCGAATCTCGAATCCCCTTGTGATCGCGAACGGGTCCGGGTCTGGGCGGAGGGGCTACATCTGGGCAGAGCTTCTGGCCCCAAAGGAAGGCCTAGACTCGAGAACGCCACAGGGGGTGCTCCAGAGGAGTGAGGTCCCCGCGGAGGCATCCAGAAGTCCCTGAAGGCCTCCGCTTAAATGCCAAAACGCACATTAAAAAACACTGATTCCTGAGACCCGACATTGCGGAACATGCAACGTTCACCAGGACCAGGGCCCCAGGAAGCGGAGGAGGGGAGGCGGAGGAGGAGGAGGAGGAGGAGGAGGAGGAGGAGGAGGAGCAGAAAAGGAGGAGGAAGAAGAAGAGGAGGAGGAGGAGGAGGTGACAGGTGTTCTTGCCCGCTTTGCCAAGCAATTTGGTGGCGCTTCCGGGTCTTCGCACGGGGGGCGCTCTTCGCCACCCCGTCGCCGCATCGAGCACTGGCTGGCGTTCTCCGACTTTCGCACGGTGGGCGCACGTCGCCGCCTCGTCGCCGCCTCGTCGCGCTGGCTGGCACTGCAGTGGCCAGCGCGGCGATGATGTCGATCTGCCCAACGCGGTTACCCCGCGCTTTGTTTGGCGGGTGATGTTGGAGCGGCCCGCGTCGCAACATGTGCCCTTTGGGTATCGCTACCCAGCACTTATGTAACTATAGGCGATGGGCTCAGGCTCGCCAAGTGGGTCGACGCCTCGCCAAGTGGGTCAACGCTCGTCCTTAAGATGCTCAGATTTGGTGCCAGGAAAACAGTAACAGACATCCACCGACCCTTCGGTGTGTGGAAGACGCTGTCGTTGTCGTCGTCGTCGTCGCAGAGTTCTCCTGCGCCCGTCGCAGCTTTCCCCCTCCTTTCCCTGAGCCTTCCTCCTCGAGCTCGCCAGTGGCTCAGCCGCAACGAAAAGAAGCCATGTCGCTATTGAGTCGAAGGGAGTCCTTCCCTGCATCCCTTCCCGGCGGGGCGGGAGGTCCGGGGGGGAGAGGTCCCGGGGGGAGATCCTGTGGGCAGGGGGGCCTCGGGTCCCAAGCACATCCTCCCCCTGGGGGTCCTGGGGTCCAAAAGAGCCCCGAGGCAGCCCAAGAGGTCCCCAAGACGGTCAAAGAGAGCCCCGAATCGCCGAACGAGGGTCCAAGACGCCAGAGATGGCCTCCTCATAGCCCATGCGGCTGCCAAGATGCTCGAGGCGGCCCCCAAGAGCACACCAAGAGGGCCCCCACGGGCAAAATTCCATGATTTGTTCTAGGTGTTTGGTACATGCTGGCATTCTCGCCTTTTCGGCTTCCCGACGCCCCAAGACGACCCAAAACGCCACCAAGATCGGCACAAGAGGTCCCTTCAGAGGTTACCAAGACGGCTCCAAAACGACCCCAGAGGACCCCAAGACGGCCTTAGAGGTCTCCCAGACGGCCCAAAAGGCCAAAAAAACAGCTCCAAAAGGGTGCCCACACGGGAACCCGAACGAACATTTCGAGCCCTCGGCCCCGAGAAGCTCCCAGGAGGCCCCAAGAAGCCCCCAACGTGTCCCCACAAGGGCCCAAGAGGCCCCCAAGAGGCCCCCAAGAGGCCCCCAGGAAGCTCGAGGAGACCCCCAAGCGGCTCCCAAGAGGCCCCCAAGATGCTCCCAAGAGGTCCCAAAACTGCCCCCCAGAGGCGTACGAGCACGCTCCGAAGAGGTCTCATGAATCATCCCTGAGGACTCTGCCCCACGTCAGCGTCGTCGTCGTCGTTGTCGACGTCGTCCCCCTGCAGGGTCGGTGATGCCCTTCCCAATGTAAATGACTGAGTCCTCGCGCAATCCCTCAATCTCAACGCCGACGTTCCGACATGAACGATGTCGCTGGGAATGCGCACAGCTAGTCTCTTTGATAGTCCCCCAATCCGCGCTTGCGGTGCGGCTGCCTGTAATTTGGGAGTCATCCGTCCGCTCACGGGCGTTTGGCCACGCGTGCACCTGGCGGACCCATTCTTGACAGAGCGCATTCTCAGCCGGGTCACTGCGTGGGCCATGGATGCATGCAGCGGATGCACCCCACGTCATGCAGCCTATCGAGGCGCCAGCACCAAGCCAGAGCACACCGTGCGGGGCAAAAACCCATGGCATCCTGTGCAGCGAGGACCCGGGGGAGGGCGCGTGCGCGCGCACTACAGGGTGGTCGTGGCGATGGAGTGGCGCCTTTCGGCGCTCATCACCCGTCGATAGAGGAACAAGATACGGCATACAGTATGGGCGTTGACCTAAGGAACCCTTAATGAGAAACGAGGCCCCTTTTCTCCACACGTTAAACTTCGACTCCCCATCGAAAACCAGAGAAAAACCTCAGGCGAACTGCAAAACCATCAAGGAACACCCAGCCCCTCCCCAACGAAAAAGGTTCCCTCTTCAGCGCCCCGACGGTAGAGGATCAAGAAGCGGCCTAAACATAAGCGCTCGGAGCTCCGCGAGGAAGTCTTGGCTCGGCGCTGGACCCCCCCCCCCCCCTTCCTGGCGCGCGGAGATCAGGCCAGGGCTGGCGCCGGAGGCGCCGCCAGGGGGGGGGGCCCCCGGCGCCGATCCCAGAAACATCCGAGCCGGGCTCCAAGAGCTCTTATGCTTGTGCAGCTTGCCTTGTGCTGCGAGGCGAGAATTATTTGTTCCCATCGTACTTTAGGACCAAAATCCCCCAAAAAAATTCGAGCACCCAGAAAAGGATCCAAACAGTGTCGAACGAGTATCGCCTCCCAGGGCCCGACACGTGAGAACCCACCAGTTTCGGCACTTTCTTGGCGCTCGAAATTCTTTCTGGCAGTCAAGGCTAAAGTAGGTTGGAACATTTTTCCCAATCATCCTGTGGTGTTGGGTCCTCGTTTTGAAGAGACGGTGCCCCGCGTCTCTCCTCCTCTCCTCCTCCTCTCCTCCTCCTCCTCCTCCTCCTCTCATCATCAGCATCATCATCATCGTCATCGTCACCGTCATCATCAGCATCATCATCATCATCGTTCTTATCACCATCGTCGTCATCATCATCGCCGTCTCCATCATGGCCACACGTTTCGTGGACCCATAGTGAGCTCCACCGAAGGCCCCAGTGGCAAGGTCCGCATGCGGTTCCACCTCCATTTCGGCGCACCCCTCACACGTTCCGTGGCCCCATAGGGAGCTCCACCGAAGGCCCAAGTGTCAGGGTCCGCATGCGGTTCCACCTCCATTTCGGCGCACCCCTCACACGTTTCGTGGCCCCATAGGGAGCTCCACCGAAGGCCCAAGTGTCAGGGTCCGCATGCGGTTCCACCTCCATTTCGGCGCACCCCTCACACGTTTCGTGGCCCCATAGGGAGCTCCACCGAAGGCCCAAGTGTCAGGGTCCGCATGCGGTTCCACCTCCATTTCGGCGCACCCCTCACACGTTTCGTGGCCCCATAGGGAGCTCCACCGAAGGCCCAAGTGTCAGGGTCCGCATGCGGTTCCACCTCCATTTCGGCGCACCCCTCACACGTTTCGTGGCCCCATAGGGAGCTCCACCGAAGGCCCCAGTGTCAGGGTCCGCATGCGGTTCCACCTCCATTTCGGCGCACCCCTCACACGTTTCGTGGCCCCATAGGGAGCTCCACCGAAGGCCCAAGTGTCGCATGCGGTTCCACCTCCATTTCGGCGCACCCCTCACACGTTTCGTGGCCCCATAGGGAGCTCCACCGAAGGCCCAAGTGTCAGGGTCCGCATGCGGTTCCACCTCCATTTCGGCGCACCCCGTCACACGCTTCGTGGCCCCATAGGGAGCTCCACCGAAGGCCCAAGTGTCAGGGTCCGCATGCGGTTCCACCTCCATTTCGGCGCACCCCTCACACGCTTCGTGGCCCCATAGGGAGCTCCACCTGAGGCCCCAGTGGCAGGGTCCGCATGCAGTTCCACCTCCATTTCGGCGCACCCCTCACACGTTTCGTGGCCCCATAGGGAGCTCCGCCTAAGGCCTAAGTGGCAGGGTCCGCATGCAGTTCCACTTCCATTTCGGCGCACCCCTCACACGTTTCGTGGCGTCATAGGGAGCCCCGCCTAAGGCCCAAGTGGCACGGTCCGCATGCAGTTCCACCTCCATTTCGGCACACCCCTCACACGTTTCGTGGCCCCATAGAGAGCTCCGCCTAAGGCCCAAGTGGCAGGGTCCGCATGCAGTTCCACCTCCATTTCGGCGCACCCCTCACACGTTTCGCGGCCCCATAGGGAGCTCCACCGAGGGCGCCAATGGCAGGGTCCGCATGCAGTTCCACCTCCATTTCGGCGCACCCCTCACACGTTTCGCGGCCCCACAGGGTGCTCCACCGAAGGCCCCAGTGGCAGGGTCCGCATGCAGTTCCACCTCCATTTGGCGCACCTCTCACACGCTTCGTGGCCCCATCGGGTGTTCCACCAACGACGATACTTACAACGGCGGCATTCGGAATTGCGTATGGTTGGGCCCTTCGCCAGGATAATTTTTTTTTTTCTCCTCACGTCGACCCGGCAGAAGCAGAAACGACGGCATGAGCACAAACGTTTTGGCGCTCCGCGCGGATTTCCTGGGTCCGCGCCGGACCCCCCTCCTGGGTGCGAGCAACAGTAGGGCGAGAGGCGATGCGGGCGAGAGGCGAGAGTCGAGGCGCGATGCTGCAGGAGCGCTCGGCGCCGCCCCCCGCGGGAGACGGCGGGGAGCGCGAAGAGAAAGCCCTGCTCGACGTGCGCCCGCGCGGGAGGGCCCCTCGTGGCCTGCAGAGGCGCGCTCCCTTGCCTCCGAGCTGGAGGAGAGAAGAAACAGCCCAAACAAAAAAAAAACAAACAAAAAAAAACGCCATGAACATAAGCTTTTGGCGCTCCGCGCGAACTTCTTGGATCTGCGCTGGCCCCCCCTCCCTAGCGCGCGGAGGGCGCCAGGGGCGGGCCGGAGGCGCCGCCAGGGAAGCCCAGCGCGGATCCAAGAAGTCCGCTTGGAGCGCCACAAGTGTACGTTCATGGCGTTTTCCCTTCTTCGACGAGCGCGCCGATCAGCTCGACGCTCCCGCGCGGGTGGGCTCGTGGCCTGTAGGCGCGCTCGCTTGCCTCCGAGCGCATGTCTGCCAGCCTGGGCGCCCAGTGGCGTGCGTACCCCGCTCGTCGACTCTCTGGCCGTGCGCGCGCGGGCGCCCCAACAAAACTCTCGACGCCGGCGCGATGCTTTTTTTTCGCCACAGAGGCGAGGGCGGGCAGCACGAGGGTGGTTCAGAGGCCCGCGGGGGCCCCCCTCCCCCTGGCGCCCCAGCTCCGGCCAACAGTGGCGCGCGCTCCCCCACAACGCCCACCACGGCACCCTCCCTCTGCTGTACTGTCCACCAGCGCCCCCCTAACCGGTGCTTTGGCCAGTGGCCTGGCGAACCCAATCCTCCCTGGCGTGGGCAACGCCGCAATGCCAGAGAGCGGCCCTAGAGTGGCAACTTTCGGCAATTTTCCGAAATGCCCGGCGCCTATCTGAATATTGTCGTGGGCGTTGCCGAGCTCGCTGGTAATCTCGCCGTGTTGTGGCCTGCCTCGCAGGTGTCGGAGAGTAGAGTGGGCTGTCGGTTGGAGTAGCTGTCAGTCAGCATGACCGTGCCATGCACGATAGAAAAGAATTGAGGAAGCGAGGGTGCCCTGTTCAGCCATAGGGGCGCGTGAGCCTGCGGGCGTGCCTGCGATGTTCATGCCTATCCCCCAGACCTCCGGTGCCCGGACAGAAAGTGTCCACACCGATTGCGGTAAGGCGACGTAACATGATAGCACCCACAACTGCGCAATGCCCTCGCTTCGCACCCCTCCCCCCCTAACCCAAAGTTGAAGCGTCCACATGTTGCCCCTGGCCTTTGGCCTACCACCTAACCCAGTCAACTTTGAATTTGGGGAAAGGGTGGGGGCACTCGTTTTGGCCTGACGTGCTTTGATGACTGAAGGTCTTGGCGAGACTCGTGTGGACACCACTTTTAGTCCGCCCAGCGTCCCTTTCCTTAGCATACCACGACGCCTGGACCTCAGGGATCCTCGAGCCCCCTTGGCTCGAGGAAGGCCTCCGAGAGGCGCCCAAAAAGGCTCGCACTCAAGAGCAAAGGCTTTGCAAAACCTCAGTCCGTGGACCTTCCAACCTCGATCCTACCCTGGCCCCATGTTTCGACGGTCTCCACTCAAGGGGTCCCAGAACCGCCTGGTGAACTACCGCCCGAATCAATGACGCCGCACCCCGACAAAATCTCACCAGACGGTCAGCCACTGGACGGTCCCTCCCAGACGGTGTCCGAGTAGAAGAGGTCGGAGGATCGCGCCGCATCGACGATGCATCGGCGATGCCGGCGTGGAGCAATTCGGCTCCACATCGAGCCGCATCGCCGATGCATCGGCGACGCGGCGCGACCCTCGGACCTGATCCACTCCGACCCCATCGTTTGGGAGGCCTGGAATCCTAGAGACCGCTAAAAGGGGCAAAACATCACAAACCGAATGTCTCGGAGGCACCCGCGGAAGTCTTGGATCGGCGCTGAGGGCGCCGCCGGGGTGGCCCAGCGCCGATCCAAGAAATCCGCGTGGAGCTCCGAACAAAAAGAATGCGTGTGTGCAGTTGGTCCACACTTGCGTTTCGCCAGAGGGGCTTCAGTCGTTTTTTCATTGATATCTTTTCGAATCAAGAAATGAAAAATAATGAGTCCCACATGGGTGACAGAGGAACCCGTGCCCGCACGGTGCTGGCACCCGGTTCGCCGGAGAGCGCCCCACAGTTGCTTCAGGAATCGTGCTTCCGCCTCACTTCGACTACCTACCAGACCACCCACACCTGACCCGAAGACCCCAATCTCGGCGGGTTCCACATGTGTCTGATGTTGCCCGACGCCCCCCAAAACTGGGAACGGAAGGCAGATTGGGGCCTTCGGGTTGGATTGGGGTGGCCGGGTGGTCGGTGATCAGTCGGCTAAACTGTTGGTCCAGACAGCCGCGATCCCCTTCAAAAGCCACACTCAGGTGCACATGGCCGTGCTCTCACCCCTGTCCGCTATAGCCGACCTCCTACTCCTCGATCCGCGCCTTCACTCTGCTATTTTTGCTGTGGGACCTTGTCGTGTGGGCCCCCTTCGCGGGGAACCCCTGCGGGCCGCAGCCCCTGACCCAGACGGAAGGGAAAACAAAGCTCCGATGGCCAGTCCCAGCCGCCTTCGCGGGCGGGCGAGTGAAAGGCTACGACGCTGCAGTGCATAAATAAGGAGGAGGAGGCGGAGGAGCGGAAAGGAGAAAGGAGAGAGGAGGAAGAGAAGAAGGAGGAGGAAGAGGAGGAGGAGGAGGAGGAGGAGGAGGGCGAGGAGGAGGAGGAGAGAGGAGGAGGAGGAGGAGGAGGAGGAGAGGAGGGAGGAGGAGGAGGAGGAGGAGGAGGAGGAGGAGGAGGAGGAGGAGGAGGGAGAGGAGGAGAGGAGAGAGGAGAGAGGAGGATGAGAGGAGAGAGAGAGAGAGAGAGGAGAGAGGAGAGAGGAGAGAGGAGGAAAGGAGAGGAGGAGGAGGAGAGAAGGAGGAGGAGGAGAGGGAGGAGGAGGAGGAGGAGAGGAGGAGGAGAGAGGAGAGAGAGGAGGAGGAAGAGGAGGAAGAAGAGAGGAGGAGGAGGAGGAGGAGAAGAGAGGAGAGGGAGAGGAGAGAGAGAGAGAGAGAGGAGAGAGAGAGAGGAGAGAGGAGAGAGGAGGGAGGAGAGAGGAGGGAGGAGGAGGAGGGAGGAGGAGGAGAGGAGGAGGAGGAGGAGGAGGAGGAGGAGGAGGAGGAGGAGGAGGAGGAGGAGGAGGAGGAGGAGGAGAGAGGAGAGAGCAGGAGGAGAGAGCAGGAGGAGGAGGAGCAGGAGGAGGAGGAGGAAAAGGAGAAGCGAACACCACAGGGCCTAAAATCGCGGGTGCTCTGCTGGGGCAAGCTGCCCTCCGGACCCCGACCCGCGGACGAGCGACGTCCCGACTCCTGTCGAGTGCCCTTTTTGCTCACCCTGCGGGCAGGTCTTGAGGGGCAACGATAATAAGGGGGGGGGGATAGGCATATGGGGGGACGCATCGACCTGGAATCGGCGATACATCGCTGATAGATCGGCGATGGGCCCCCGATGGTGAATCCGCACGCTCCTGGGCGCGTTGGGGCTGTGGGCCCCCTTGTCGGCGATCCATGGGCGATTGGGGGTCGCTGCATCCCCCCCGTGTGCCCACTCCCCCCCGTGTCGTTGCCCGTGAGGTCTGCACCCCCCGTGCCTCGAGGAGCCCCCCGGCTCGAGGGCCGCCACTCTCCAGGCGGGCCCGGGGCGGCCCGCGGCCCCGGCCGCGGCCGCCGCGGCGGGGGCGGCCACCCGCTCCGGCGTCGCGATGTCGAAGGTGTGGGGCTGGCGCTCGGCCGGCGAGGGCGCCGCGCCGTGGCCTCTGCGAGCTCGGGGGCCCGAAGGGGACACCCAGACTGAAGGCTCCTCCCTCCTCCTCCTCCTCCTCCTCCTCCTCTTCTTCTTCTTCGTCTTCTTCTTATTATTCTTCTTCTGAATGTATTAGTATGTTTCTTATTGTTGTTATGCTTATTATTATTAGTAGTAGTAGTATGATTATTATTAATAATATTATTATTATTAGTATTATTATTACTACTACTACTATTACTAATATTATTGTTATTACTACTACTACTATTATTATTAGCATTATTAGTAGTAGTAGTATTATTAGTATCAGTATTATTATTAGTATTATTATCACTATTATTATTAGTATTATTATTCTTATTTGTATTATTCGTCTTCTGAGTATTAGTATTAGTACTGCCATTATTCTTATTAGTATCCTTAGTCGCATTCTTATTATTATTAGTAGTAGCAGTAGTAGTAGTAGTAGTAGAAGTAGTTGTAGTAGTAGTAGTAGTAGTAATAGTAGTAGTAGTAGTAGTAGTAGTAGTAGTAGTAGTAGTAGTAGTAGTAGTATTCGTCTTCTTATTATTCTTCTTATTATTATTCGTATTCTTATTATTAGTATTATTATTATTCCTCCTCCTCCTCCTCCTCCTCCTTCCTCTTCCTCCTCCTTCCTCCTCCTCCCCCGGATATTCGGAGGTTTCGTCTTCCCCTCCACTTCCCACGTTTTCCCAGAGCTTCCTGGGAAGCGACGTTCACTTGTGTCTGTGTGTTTTGGTCCTCCTGACCGACGTGCTCGCATCGAGGGAAGAGCACAACGGAAGGTTTTTCGCTACTGTTCGGGTGTTCCTATAAGTCCACCTGGCCCAAGGTGCCCCCAGGATTTCCAAGGAGGCCCCCACGGCCTCCAGAGCACCCCTCACGAGGTCCAGAGGGCCCCAGGGGCTCCAGAATTGATCGAAATACTGAGGGCACATTGGGCCTGGAACACCTTTAGCAACACCCGAGCTTTCAGCCCCCTAGGGCCCTCACTGGGCCTCGGCGCCGTCAACAAGCGACTCGGGATGGAAAGCCTTCCCGGGGAATGGGTCGAGCCCTCTGGTGATCGATGTTACGAAAAGGTCAGGACGTCGGGAGTCCGAGTACAGAAACGAGGGTAGCCCTCACAACAGGGCGTTGCAATTTGCTCCCACCTGGCGTTGGCGCGAGGGCTCGGCCCGGGGGGCCCTCACAGATCGATGCGGCTGGAAAATTTCAGCGGGAAGGTAGGGTCCGGGGCTCAGGTCGTGATTTGTTTCGATGTCGCGATGACTGTCGCGTCGTCGGATCTCAGGGTCGCAAAAATGGGTACGTACGATGTCCAAGTTGTCCAAAGCCGTAACAGTGGCCACTGTTGGGCAGGCGGTCTTCCGTCTCAAATGGACAACGTCCGCGGCCACGCCGACAGCGGACCCTGTTCAAACAGGGCAGGAACTGCTGGTGGTCTTCGTGCCCATTGTTTCCGCACCCACGTCGGTCAGAACGAGCGAGGGGCTCGACGTCTACACCGGCCCTGCGACCCCAAATCTCCAGCGATACGGTCCTTGTCAATCCGAGCGTTGTTCCTGGATCTCGGGATTGGGGGGCCGTCTTCGGGCCCCAGAACCATCGAAAATTAATCCAGGACAAGGCACTGGCCCTGGGGAAAGGGTCGACACCCAATGGGGTCGCGCACTGACAAAAATCATACCGTCGGATGTCGAGGATCAGGACGTCGCATGTTTGCTCACTCCAGGCCAGGTGTTCTCGCCCTGGTTCGGGCCAGGACGGCCTGGCTCGAGAAGTGCCGCAGAAAGATGGGGCCTGTAGAGCTCCAGTCGTGGTTCTCTGCGATGTTGCGTTGTTTGTGGCGTCGTCGGAGAGCCTGACTTTGCTGTTCTGCGTTTCCAACCTGCGGAGGTGGTTTTCGGGCCCAGGGACATCAACTATCCAGGACGAAAACCAGCCCTGGGGAACGGGTCGGGACTTCCAGAGCACGGCATGGAATGTCTGGATACAGAGCAGCTCGTCTGGTCGGCCTGGGAGCTCGGTGTGCAGGCGCCCCAGCTTCAAAAGCTGCCGCATGCCAGAGCGAACGTGTGTGCAACAGGTTCCGTCGCCAAGTTCCACGACGCCCGACGTCGCGAGTTGATCACAGCGTGGACCCCGACGGTCTCGACCCCTCTCCTCCTCCTCCTCCGTAATTACCAGCTTTTCATCCTGAATCGTTTTCTGACGGCGGGGGGGCCCGATGACGGCCCCCTTTTATGCGAAAATGCCACATAAGCTTCCGCCGTGATGGTTCGTCGCGACGCCGATGTCTTGATTGTTTCAATACGAGGCCCCTGGAGCCTTGGACCACTTCCCGAGGACCAGCTTCTCGTCCAGGAGAATTCGTGGGACGCCCCTGGGCCCCCCGCGAAGGCCCCCAGACACCGAGAACGACGAGAAACCTCCGCCTCGATGTTGCCAACAAGTTGGAGATCTGGTGACGTAGTTTTCGCTTGCTCACGAAGTGAAGGCGTCTGAGAAGCTCCTTGGTGGGGAAATCCAAAGGTAGCGATACCTCCACTCCCTGGGCCTCTCCCGGGGTGCGTTCTGACCAGAATCAGGGACCTTCTGACCCGGGTCAATCCAGACCCGGGTCAGCAGGAAACCAAAAACTGCAATGCAGGAACAAAGAAACTGCAACGCAGGTCTTCGCAAACCCGGGTCAGCCAATACGCGCGGCCGCCTCGCGGCCACGAGCGGCTCCCTAACCCGGGTCAGCCAGAAGGGGGTCTTCGCAGGATCCTGCAAGATCCGGCGCCCTGGCTGACCCCCGTCTGCTCTGACCCCCGTCTCGAGGCTCCCGACAGAATTTCGAGGCGAATCCAACGGTGGCGACGAGAGCCTCCCAGGAGGTCGAAAAGGGGAAAACGGGAAAGGGTAGCGGTATGGGTACCGTTTCCCCCTGCAGCCAAGACCAGTCCACAAGAAACCCATCGCATGAAACCCAACCCTGAAGATCGCAAAAGTTTCTTTGGCCACGGTTGGGTGTCATGCTGAGCAGCCGCCAGCAAAGAAACTCAAAGTAACCTGGGCCAAGCGGTTGATTGATGGCTCGCGCAAAGCATCCCAGCGTCAAGACACTCGGGGTATCCTGCCAGTTGCTGCTTCTTCGCGGCCGCTGCAAGCCCTCAATCCGAACACAAACCAAAGAAACCCAGGGTACCCTGGCAAAACGTATGGCGTTCTTGGTATGGGCCCCAGCAGTATGAGGCTTGGCTCGGTTTTGCAATTTTTTGAAAGATATTTGACAATTCATTTTGAGAAAGCAGATTTCGCACCTGTAAACGACTACCAGGGTCTCTCTGTCTCAGTATGAGCTGCGTGGGCGCATTCCTACTCTCAAAACACCTGGAGGAACCATCTCTAGGTCGACACGAAAAAATCGATGTTTCCCCCTTTTCGAGAAATTCTCCCGGCGGGTCCAGCGGCGCGGCCCGCGTCACTTGTCGGCTCCCCGGCGGGTCCAGCGGCGCGGCCCGCGTCAGGATGGGCTGGAGGAGGAGGAGGAGGAGGAGGAGGAGGAGGAGGAGGAGGAGGAGGAGGAGGAGGAGGAGGAGGAGGAGGAGGAGGAGGAGGAGGAGGAGGAAGGAGGAGGAGGAGGAGGGGCCTGGTCCTCCGGGGGCCTCCGCCTCCCCGGCCAGCGCGGGTGCCGGGGCGCGGCCGTCGCCTCCCCGCGCCGCCTCTCGTCGGCCGTCGCCGTTCTCGGAAGGGCAGCCAACTCAGACCACGACTACCTACCATGACCACCCCAACCCAGCCCGAAGACCCGAATTTTCGGGTTGGGGGGGGGTAAGGGTTCCACGCGTGTTTTTTCGAGGTTTCCCGACCCCCCCCCCCCCCCACTGGAAATCGAGGGTGAAGCTGAGCCTTCGGGTTGGGTTGGGGTGGTTTGGTAGGTGGTGAGACCACCAACTGAGGAGAACAGGTAGCGTGTTGGGAGGAAGGGGCTGGGAGGATGAAGGTTGGGCGTGGCTTAATGGGGGGGTCACAAATGGGGGGGTCAGAAAAGGTCCTCTTTCGTGCCCCTTTCGGGCCCCTCTGGACCCCCAGGGGGCTCGTTTAGGTACCATTTGGGTACCTTTTCGGACCACGCGCGCCACCCCCCCATTTATGACCCCCCCATTACGCAACGCCCAAGAAGGGTATGAGCAATAGCATCCGGATGCAACGAGCGATCCCTTCGGCCGCCGACGAGTAATGGTACCCTCGTTTCTCCCAACCCCATCCTCCCAACCCGATAACTGTCTTCCTGACCAACGTAAGACGAAGCCAGGACGAGGACAAAATCGGGTGAGGATACATCGAGAATCTCTGAGATCCAGCGGTTCTGGAGGATGACTCGGGCGCCGCAGCCTTCTCAGAGCGTTCCAGAACGCTCTGAGAGCGATCCGGAACGCTCTGGAATGGATTCATCCTCGTCCTAGCCCCGTCCGCCAACGTCCTGGAAAAAGGACGGCCAGATTCTGTCTCCGGGGCCCGTTTCTTCGGGAACGCCGGGGATCGTCAAAAACAGCCCAGGGTGAATCAGCGGTCCCCCGGAAGGGGGGGCAAGAGGCCCAAGGGGGCACGCATGAGATTCACGACGTCGGACCAGGCGTTGCTAGAAGGAGCCCTGGGCCACGGGGGCACGAGCTTTCCTGGGGAGGCGCAGATGGCTTCCAGAGCACCCCTCACGAGCACCGTGGGGCCCCGACCACAAGAAGCCTTCCTCAAGAAACCCAACCCTGAGACCCCAGGAAGTCCATCGATTTTTGGTATGGGAACGTAGAGGCCTCCCAGATGGGATCGGAATAGATGGGGTCGGAGGTTCGCGCCGCATCGCCGATACATCGGCGATGCATCGGCGACCTCGGTGATGCATCGGCACCGTCGGCGTGGAGAAAAACGGGCTCCGCTTGGAGCCGCATCGGCGATGCACCGGCGATTCGGCGCGATCCTCCGACCCCATCTGAGAAGCCTAAAAAACGCAGCTCTGGCCATGGCAAAACCACCGAAACCCACGAAGCCCACGGCGCCCTTGAGGCAAGCAGTGTGGTTCTTGACATGGGCCTCTCCAATGTAAAAACCCAGAGAGGACCCCCGAAGGCCCCCCGACACAGTATGGGTCATTCATGAGATTATGCAGTTCGAGGACGTCCATCGATCTGTGGTGTGGGAACGTCACGCCTTCCATGGCAAGACCACCGAAACCCAAGAAGCCCAGGGCGCCCCGGAGGCAAGCAGGATGGTTCTTGACATGGGCCTCTCCACTGTGTAAAAGCCCAGTGAGGGCCCCCGAAGGCCCCCCCAGGGAGCCCTGGAGAGCTGGAGGCCCCCAAAGAGCTGGGCGCACCTGGGGCCAAGGCCACTTCTGGCACCAGGAGGAGGAGGAGGAGGAGGAGGAGGAAGAGGAGGAGGAGGAGGAGGAGGATGGGGAGGAGGAGGGGGGGGCCCAGCGCCGATCCAAGAAATCCGCGCGGGCCTCGAGAAGTTTCTGTGTATGGTTTTCTTGATAGGTTTTCTTGATGACCGCGGTGGTTGCCAAAGGGATAGGGGGTTGTGGTGGATGTGAAGGTGGGTAATATCTGGCCTACCCAAGCTTGCAAGTGCCTACCCTAGCTTACAAGTCGGTTACACAACCCCTGAACGGCTTACAAGGGTCAGGGCACTCCAGTAAGTGGGCCTCGCCCTTTTACCCCTGATCTCTGCCCCGCAAGCCTCTCAGGGTACCTGCGTCCCACTCATGAGCTACATGGCCAGTTAAAACACACCGTAGCATCCACTTCAGACCCCCCTTTATCCTTCTCGGTCATCTAAGTAACACCAGCGTTTACTCCACGGCACCTCCTCCACGTCGCGGTGCTGATTGGAGGCCCCAGGAGACGTAAACGGCCACAAGGAGGAAGCGAAAACAAGTAAAAATCGGCCGTCGCTACTCGTTTGCTCGCGTCGCCCATGGGACTCTCGAGGACATACTAGTCCGATGTGTTCTCCTCAGAGGCGTGCGTCCGGCCCGAACATATAATGCACAACTCTTACAGTTTTCCGTTTCCCGAGCGATACGGCCAGAAAGAGCCCGCCACGACGCATACACTCCAAGACTTCTCGGTGCGGGCTTCGCCCCTGGGGGGGCGACGCGCACATAGCATTAGTATGTTAAGAAGCCTCCTAGATGGGGTCGAAGTAGGTAGATGGGGTCGGAGCATCGCGCCGCATCGCCGATGCATCGGCGATGCATCGGGGCTGCACCGGCGACGCATCGTCGACGTCGGCGATGCATCGGCGCGGCGACGTCGACGAGAAGCAAATCAGGCTGCTCATCGAGCCGCATCGGCGATGCGGCGCGATCCTCCGACCCCATCTGCTCCGACCCCATCTGGGAGGCCTAGAACATAGTATGGGTCATTCATGATACAGTGGGGGCCCGACCACAAGAGACCTCCCACAAGAAACCCAACCCTGAGACCACAGGACGTCCATCGATCTGTGGTGTGGGAACGTCACGCCTTCCATGGCAGAACCATCGAAACCCAAGAAACCCAGGGCACCGTGGAGGCAAGCAGGGTGTTTCTGGGCATGGGCCCCCACTGTACTGTGCAGAGCCAGCGGTATGGATTCAGAAGCGATCGCCGCCAT